ATAATGATCCAACGATAAAATATCGTAAATAAAAATCAATACCAAAAATGTAAAATTTTCATAAATTCTTTTCATTTATCGTTATGTCGGAGTGTCCGTGTAAAATTTCAGCATAATTCTTTTATTGATTTAAAAGTTATATTTTCACTTTTGTCTTGACGTTTTGTAATATTTACAAATTTGTTGAGGAAATAATATTAAAAATTAAATGAAATTTTATACATATATTAATAAAACAATAATAAATATTCATAAAAATAAAAATTTATTCAAATCCACTTACTTGTTTAAAAATATTGACCTAAAACTGCAGCAAAATGTGGCCATTATAAGCCAAATTATTTATTATTTCACTTTTTGCAATTGATTTAGGATGTATAATTCACAGGTTATCATCAAAATTTGTTTAATATTAGCTAATATTGCCTAGTTTCCTAATATTTTTAACATAATATTGCACAGCCAAAATGATTCCATCCGGTTGAATAAAAAACTCACTAATTGATCTGTAATTTGAACGGAGTCGCCCTCTTCCTTTTCATCGATCAACGACTAACGTAGTCAGAATTTACATTTCCGCCACGGACGAGGATTGATATTTCTTTCTAGCAAGATGGCTCCGAAACCGAAGCCCACGGAAAAGGCAGGTAGGTTTAAAAGTGATACGTGACATTTGTCTTTCCTTCTGAATGCATGTTTTTAAACTGAAAAGGCGTTTTTCAAAATTATCGATCAATACAAATATAAATTATCAACGTCGCGTAGTTCGGTGTCGAGGAACGCGATCCAGAACCATGTGGTCGAACATGCACACGTTTTCTTACATCTTATTTATAACGATGACGATTCTCAGAAGAACGTTTCATGTGATTTTATCTACCGGTTTTTGTTCACTGTATCCGCGAATCTCACCTGCCATATTGCTTGTTCGATACTAATTATGATATAAAATTCGCGTGTACCATAACCTATGAAGCCTAATCTACAATGTGCTACAATTTGCTTTTTATCTCATTTTGCCACTTGCCCTATTTCTTTGTTTTCTATCTTTCAAGATGAAAATTGACGAACTTTAGGAGAGATAAAATACATGTGACAATAAACACAATTGTCAATAAAACGACCACAAAGAGAGGAAAGAAAGGAAACAGGTAGTCGATTATGTATTTTGAAACAATATGAAAATTACAAAAGTGAACAAATTCACTAGATGTTGATTGTAATGCAATTATAAATACTCTAGTGATTTTGTTCAATTTTGTAATTTTTACTTCATTTCAAGGTACATAATCAATCAACAGAAAGCAAAGAGTACATTGTGTAGATTAAAAAAGTACACTGGAGAATTAGAAGATAGAGAATTTCACTTTAAAAGTACTATTTTTAAGAATAGATTTACTTTAGATCTTTGTTTTTTTTTTATGTATTTATTTGAATATTGATCCAGTTCTATGTCACTTTCTTTTACAGGTAAGCCTGCAGAGAAGAAGACAGAGAAGAAGGCTGAAAAGAAACCAGCCACAGCAGCAGCGTCTACTTCAAAGGTGACAAAGCCTGCGGCCAAGCCTGCGGCTACAAAGAAGCCGGCAGCTGCCAAACCAGCAGCTGCCACTAAGCCAGCTGCCAAGCCTGCAGCTAAACCTGTGCTCAAGCTTGCCAGCAAGCCATTGATTAGCAAACCCAAGAAGAATGTACAAGCTACCAAGAAGACCCCAAAGGGTGGAAAGCCAGCGACTCCAGTTCAGAAGGCTCTCAAGGCTCAGAAGAAGGTACTTGAAATAGAAACATTTATCTTGCTAATATTTTAATCCAAGGTGAACAAGAAAGTTAAAATAATGTTAATTTGACGACATATTGAATTATTGCTCAAATTTATATTGTCTTTTTGTCATGATTTAGTCAATTCGGACTTGTTCTCCTTGAGAGACATATTGTCTTTTTCAATGATGAATTTAAATGTGGGAATCTCTTTGAATTTCCGTGAAAATAACTTTAACATAGTACTGAACAATTATCGAGTCTACTATATACAAGAATGTATCAAATATTATGAATTTAACTGTTACATTTATTACTTTACAGATCTTGAAGGGAGTTCATGGCTCCAGGGTGCGGAAGATTAGGACGTCCGTTCACTTCCACAGGCCCAAGACTTTCAGGCCACCTAGAAATCCCAAATACCCGCGCAAATCTGTGCCGAACAGAAATCGGTAGGGTTTTAATGAGATTCACTCGAAACTTTTTAAATAAATATGTATATATGAATTTCTTTTGAGAAAATTATTGCATCTTTGTGATTTGTATTTCAGTATGGATGCATTTAACATCATAAAATTCCCATTGACGACGGAAGCGGCGATGAAGAAGATTGAGGACAACAACACCTTAGTCTTTATCGTACACGACCACGCCAACAAATATCACATCAAGGCATCGATTAAGAAGCTTTATGATGTCGATGTAGCAAAGGTGAATACTTTGATGAGGCCGGACGGCAGAAAGAAGGCATACGTGCGCCTAACGCGCGATTATGATGCGCTCGATGTCGCTAACAAAATCGGCATCATATAATTTCTATCTCAATTTTTGTTTAAAAATAAAATAACGTCTTGTACTGATATAATAAAAAGATATCAATGCGGAGAAAGATTAGATTTTATTCATTACTTCGTAATCCTTGCTCGAGATAAGTAAACAAAAATTTATAAATTAATGACAGAAAAGATTTTAACTTCACTTTTAAGATGCAATTTAATCGACTGAGTAAGAGAAAATATCGACTGTCGATATTTCCTCATTTCTCAAGAATATTGCCATCTGTTGCTAATAGTAGGACATGTATACTTCCGTCTGATGACATTAGATTAGCTATCTTGGCAATGTCAGTAAGATGCGTCAGCTGAAGTTTGATGAGTTTGATGGAATAACAATAATGGATTGAATACTGTATAGAGACAAAGTAATATGGAGTATAGTTATTTATGCATAAAATAATAATATAAAAAATTCGTATCATAATTGTATATAAAAAAATACAAACATATAATATAAACAAGGTAAGTTATTATATCAAAGAAATTTTATTGAAAGAAACAAGAATTTTAATATGATTATCATATTTTATAATTTTATAATGCACATGTATTAATCATAAAAATTCTATAATTAGAGTTCCTCTAACAATCATCATAAATTGCCGGAGTTACAACTTTAATAAATAAAAATGATCGAGGCACCGACGTGGAACTCCAAAAAAGATGAAGGCATCTATAAAGCCGCAGGTGCTATGCATCTACGAAAATACGGAGAATTCTTTGAGAATCTGGTGGAGAAATCCTGGAAGGGTGATTCAACGTTAGAATATATTATAGAAGGTCCTCTACGTCTAGTCTACAAATCGACAGAAGATATTGGTATTCTGTCCTTGGTGGAAATGGAAAACAAAGTTCTATCCAAGCTGCTGGCAGCGATAGCAGGAACGTGCAGAGAAATCAGATTACTGAAAGTGGAAGCTGCTGATTTTTATGCAAAGCTCTTCGCTCATGGAGAAAGGTGCATGGATGACGATCTTATTGGTGTGACCAAATTATTGTCAGATCTTCTAGATCTATCCGTTTTTACCAATCGAATGTCAGCTGTCGTACACTTGACTACCCAACAATTGGCAAGTCTATCCGGCGCCGTCCATGAAATCTATTTACCCGTTCTACTGGAAGGCTTCATAGATCTATTTGTTATCCTTGTAACTCTCGACGAGATCGTCGACGCTCAACCAACAATATTGGATCAGTGGAAGAAGTACAGGATACATGTGCGCTCTATGATGCATAATCCATTGCAATTTCATGTCACCAAGACAAAATTGGAAACGTTTGACCATCTGCTCAAAGATCTGCAGGAGAAATTGCTACGAAAGAATATGTTTCTGAAGGCGATTGAACATGTGATGGATGTAAATAAAGGCGCGGTCATGAGCGAGCAGATCATCAGTTATCTGAAAAATATGATTACAGATGTGGAGAGCAAATCCAACGACTGTGCCGCATTGAATAAGAACTGGATAAGAGCCAACGTCGGCGTCGCCGTGGTGATAAAGCTGTTTGGCGCTTGTGACAAGAAGCTGATCAAGAGGGTGCTGGAGACCAACAAGAAATTCTACGCAGTCACGTTGGTGGGGAATGTGATGTGGGTGCCGAGTAAGTTCCTCAGCAACGTCGTGCCAAAGGAAACTGGCAATGCCATAAACTTACAAATTGGCGAAAAGATTCTGCAAGCAAGAACGCAAAGATTGTCTGTCACGGTGAACAATCTGATACAACGAGGGACGATCTGGTGCGTGGAGATGCAGAGTATCCTTACAAGGACCAATCTCCAGGTATCAGACATTGGACAAAAGCGTACGCTACTGACGGATTTGTTAGCTTTGCTGTCTCAGATGCGTGAGATTGTTGCATTTGTGACGAATCTGCACGCTTTGCTGTCGAAGCCGATGAGTCGTGGCACAGTTAAACTAATTTGCAGACTCGTGGAGTTGCAAAAGTCCCTGCAGACGACATTTTACGCACTCGGGCCGGTCGTAGTGCAATCGCAGGCGCAAGTGCTGCAATACCTAGCTTACTACGTGCTAGTTATGCTGGAAACAGCGCGAAAAGCTCTTGTTCAGAGGGACAAGAGTTACAGCAGGGAACGCTTAGATGCGCTATCGCTGATAGGGCTGAGTATGCGGCTGATAAGTGGTCCAGCGAGCGCAGATAGACGGCTGATAGTGCGTTGCGCGTTAGCGTGCGCCACTCAGCTGACCGATACTTTCCGCGAAGAAGAAATAGTCAAACTACGGTTTCTGCTGGATAGTTATGATGCCGTGGCCGAGTTATACGAGCTAGTCGATGAACATGGCGACTATTCGCTGCTGCTGCATCATCAGAACATGCTCCCCGCTTATCTCTCCTCGGTCGTCGACAGCAATACCGGCGTTTACCATATTACACATCTGTTCGCCGCCTTCAATAGCGCCATAAGCGAACAGGAATTCGCTGAGCTGAAGGTAAAACGTATTGCGGAACTTCGGGAGAGCCTAGTGAAGAGTGTATTAAAACCGGCCTGCCATGAGATCGAGACTAGCCTACGACTGCACGTGCATGCTCATCTTAAACTAGATTCCACGAATCCTTTTAATATTGGCGCGAAAGACGGTAGCAGGATGGTGCGAGTCCCGCCGTTGCCTTTGGCCGAAAACATGGTTTGTACAAAGAGATTTGTCGAGCATTATCTGGACGATATGTTTTACAATTTGACGACAGTAGCCCTACACGATTGGAGAACCTACCGGACGATGCATGCGTTAGCCAGTTATAAGATGGGCCTGGACACGGTGCAGGACCATCTGCCGACGCAGACTCTCGAACAGGGTCTGGACGCTCTAGAGATAATGCGTAACATCCATGTGTTCGTTTCCAGGTAACTAGAATTGTTAAATGTGACAGTATAAGAATTTATGTTATAACTAGTATTTAGACATTTATCAGTATATTCGTATTGTTTCATTGTAGATACCTATACAATCTGAACACGCAAACGTTCGTGGAACACAGCAGCGGCAACAAGCATCTAAATACCATTGGCATCCGGCATATCGCCAATTCAATTCGCACCCATGGCACCGGTATCATGAGCACCACGGTAAATTTCGTTTACCAGTTTCTGCGTGTAAAGCTGCATACCTTCTCGCAGTTCCTCTTCGACGAACACATCAAGTCACGGTTGATGCGCGATATTAGATTCGTCCGAGCACAACGAGAAGCAGGCGCCGCTCCGTACACATACGAACGAGCGGAGAAATTCCAAAAGGGTATCCGAAAACTAGGGATGACTGCCGACGGGCTGAGTTACCTGGATCAGTTTCGTCAGCTGATCACGCAAATCGGCAACGCACTCGGCTATGTGCGGCTGATTCGCTCCGGCGGCCTTTACGCCAGCTCTAACGCAATATCTTTCCTGCCAGATATCGAGAAAACAGTACCATTCGAATCACTCTGTCGTGGACTAAATTATAGCGCTACAACACAAGCTGCAGCCAGACGGCTGGAGAACGACATCGCTGATCTGGTGCGTAACTTCACCGAGGGTATTCAATACTTTAAGTTGCTAGTCGACGTGTTTGCATCGGCATTCCGCGATACCAAGTCCTACCATCTGCAGCAGTTCTACGCCATCGTGCCGCCACTAACGCTCAGTTTCGTCGACAATTCCGTATCCAATAAAGAGAAGATGTTTAAGAAGAATCAGACCGGCGCAGCTTTCACTGACGATGGCTTCGCCATGGGTATTGCCTACATCAATGCTTTGCTTGATCAGAGCGTTGAACTAGACGGCCTTCATTGGTTCAAAACGGTTGAACAGCACATCGCCCAGGAAAAGCTTGCAGCCGAGCGCAAGGATGACCACGGCGATGAGAAGCTTCAACAAACCAGGGCGCTCACTCTCCAACGTCTCAATGAAAGAAACGCCGAGTTCCAATTATTGTACTATAGTCTCTCTGGTGCTAGAGTGTTTTTCAAGCAACCTGATACGTAACACAAGACAATCTACTCATTTTGATATTTCGATATTGTGCTCTTGGGCCAGTTATCCAAGTCGATTTCATGATTACTAGGAGAGAAGTGGTTAACACAAATTACGATGATTTAGATAAATGTGCTTTCCACTTCTTCCCTAATTTTTGAATGCAAATGAAATTTTGAATAAATATAATACTCATTCCAACTCTTCCAATTTATTCTCATACGTGTTTGTCATCATAGCACATGTTGTAAATTACTTAGACTGTCTACAATCACTTTTATAAATATTTTCTACATTCACACGATATCGTTACAATAACAGAGCTTTTGTTCAATAAATAATGGCTAGACTGAATGACTAGGTTTTACGTCTAAAAGAGGTGCAATTACTACTTGCATCGCAAGTAGAATCGAAAAGATAAATGAATGAAGACATCTAATATTTGTGTAGTGTCTTAAATTTTGAATTTGGCAAATTATTTAGAATAATGCAAAATTTTATGAGAATAACATAAACCTTCATCCATTTTTTATCTCTATCTTGACGAAACAATTGTTTATCTCACCAGATCAGATCTCCATCTTCTCGAAAATTGGATTTTCAAAAGAATCACATTTTCTTTCCAATTCGGATCGATGTTGCGCTTTTTTTAAATTTTCAATAAACTATTGTGGCTAATTAACATTGACGCACTATCGGCGTACGATGCACATGAACATATATATATACAACATCAATTACTTTCGTAGCCGTACACGCTAGAAAGCAAAACGCATTGCGTATTTTGCGTACAATAAAAATTTTATTTGTTTTACTCATTACGCTTAAGTAAAACAATGACGACTGTTATTAATTTGAATTAAGTATTTTTCCAATATCAGATAAAAAATTCTATCGAAATTATCGCTCGATAGATTTCTGCAAAACTTTCTTGTGTCAGTCTTCAAACGATTATACGCAATAATACGCAGTAATACATAGTAATACGGATAATCGCAAGCAACGTACAACAACAAAATATAAAATCTATTAAAATAAACTTTACGTCACAACATCGTAAAATATCACACTGAATTTATCAGAAACAGATCTGCGTCTTACTAGAAAATACATTAAGATTAATTAATGCACTAAGATTGATTAATGCTTTAAGATTAATTAATTCCTACGTATATCTGCATAATTACCGAGATACGGCTTTTTGATAATTTTTTTTATCGTTTCAAGCGTTTTACTTGATATTCACTCTATTCGGTAAGTCTTTGTTTTCACTGACGCACCTTTAAAACCTTGTAATTCCATTATCTCTACAGCTAATTGTCAACCATCAAGTGAGCTATAAATCTGAATCGCTAATTAATTTATATCTTACACGACCCTGACATAGTTATCTCGTCTATCGCAAGTCATGACATAGATATGCTTCTTTCCGTGACATATGACATCTAAATTAAGCTGCAAACGTCGTTGAATTTGCCGTCTCACGATGACGAGAAACAAGAACAAATATTCCAGCAGGATCGTGTAGATATAGATCTCTCTTTAGGATTGAGGTTTGGATGATTCTTCCGGATCCAGAAGATCGTCGCAAGAAGCTGTCGGTGGTAACAATTGTCTGCCGCCGCGTTTCTTACTGCGAGTGAACACTTTCGTAAGTTGCGCGAATTTACGTCGAGATACTGCAAAGGTTTTCATCATTAGAAAAATAACAGTACACATATATATATATATATATATATATATATATATATATATATAGAGAGAGAGAGAGAGAGAGAGAGAGAGAGAGAGAGAGCTTTTAACTTAAATGATAATTTTCCAATTCATTGCTTACGTTTGCCCATATTTTTCAGTCTTTCTTTGAACAGATCCTCATCGTCGTGACCGGTCTGGCTGCTGCACTTCTCCAGCTTTGAGTCTACAAGAGAAAGAAAACGTTCCATTTTCTCTCTTGAGCTGCATTTTCTTGCGGTCTCCTCAATTCTTTACCATGTTCCAATGTAGACAGGAAATCTTCATTCCAACGAAGCTCCGCCATGAACTCCTCGTTCTGCAAAAACATAGCGATCCTCTCGTCCTCTAGCATAGTATTCTCTTGCGAATACGCCAAATCGATGCCATCATCAGATATTTGCTGAGGGAGCCTTAGAAAGGTGTCCGGCAATGGTCCCAAGAGTGGAGGCTGCCATTTTTGAACGCTGCTTCTTAACACTGCTTTGCTTGAGTCTTTCCTAGGTGACTTCGCGGTCACTTGGTTTGGAAGCTCTTCCTTCTGCTCCAGCTCACTCCTGATTTTCTCGTTCTCGTTGTCAGTACTCATGGTGAGCAATTGGTCGATTGTGGTGTCCACAGCTCCCTGATTGGATCTCAGTACAGCCTGCAAATATATAATAAAATATAGACATATTCCTAGAATAAAACAACATGACGGTAGCTAGATTATGTATTTATATCAATATAGATTCATTTTCTTGGTTTAGGCTGCTTTTGTTTTAGACGTAAACTTTATTCTATTTTTCTTATGTAACAATGATAAAGATAGAACAAAGCTTATACAGTGTATAAATATATAAACCAAACGCAGCCATATTCTTAGTCTTATTCTAATTAATCTTCATCTAATTAGAAAAGGATAAAAAAAAATGTTAATCAAAATTGAATTTAATCTAAATCAGTAGAATGGACTTGGCATGTCGACAGTTCTCTTACCTCTATCACATCATCATCCATCTGTGGAAACATGTTTTTAAAGTCGGCCATCGCCTGATAAAACTCCAGCGTTGTTTGTTGCTGTTGCTGCTGCTGCTGTTGCTGCTGCTGCTGCTGTTCTGTGGCAGAGGCCATGGTGAAGTTTCTAGAGCGACTAAGCTGCCAATACGATCAGAATTAATATGATTTTTTTATATCAAAACGCACAGCATGTATATATGTACAAATACATACAATGATCTTCTGACGTTTCTCAAGTAATGACAGCAGCGAGAGCATCGCCCATGCCTGTAAATACCGGTCTTTGCGTCGTTGCTCCTTAGTACGTGTCAATCAGCAAAATTAGCACAGTGTCATCTTTCAGAACGGTTAATCGATAAAATACACAGCGTGTTTAGAATATGTCTCGCCGGTGCCGGCTTACGTCATGTCATACAGACATACGTCAAAGTGCCAGTCGAGAACACCGAGAAGATGTCAACTTGTCAAAATCTACACCCGCTCTCAGCTTGTTTCGGCCTTTATGAAACCAGGACTAAAGAAACTCCAGATCGTTCACCGCTCGTATAACTGGACTACTCACGTATACGCTTCGTGATTGGCTGGCCACTGTTAGTATTTCTGTAATTATTACAGAAAACACTACTACTGTACCTTGTAAGAAATAGTTCTTTTTCTAAAATTGTCTCGAGTAATGTCTAAGGAAATCCTAAAATCGTGTGTTTTATCGAATCAAGGCCATAATTAACACGTACGATTTGCGTCTCACGTAATACTTGTCTTACTCATCAATATTGTATGCAAATGTATGTAAAAATTTTCCAACTATCTTATTAGATATGTAAGCCTGATTCTGAAGGATTCAACAGTTTGTTCATGTAATCCCTACTCCAAAAAAATCAAGAGTATTTTATACGTTCAAAGTAAATATGATTGTATATAAAATTTATATACAAAGAAAATATTGTTAACAGAGTCAACTGTCAGAAGCCGATAATAAAATTGTATTTTCCAATTTTTTTATCGTTCTTGGCGATAAAGTCGATCGGTTTGAATTAAATCACCGTTTATACTTTTTGCAATTGTGGAAAAGCTTTAAATTTGAAGGGCAGTTAGAAACGTATTTACTTGAAGAAGAATTGTTCTTGAACGATTTCGTGATTGGCTTATGATCATCTTAAGTCTACTGTATTTGAAACGGTCTTTATATGGGCCTTCTACAAATAAGTGCCATTAGTCATAAATTAGAAGACGGAAGCTAAAAATTCACCGACTGTGATTAGTCAATTTTTTAACTTCTGACTTAATGTAGGGGCTTATTGTAGAAAGCCCAATAAAGTTATAATCTGACTGCGAATACCGATCGTAGATCATTCTATTTTACACACGTAAATGTACGACTCTGTATAATCAAGTTCGATCGTTAAAGCACGTCTCTTTTCCATGTCTCGACTGCTGTAACAGCAAGCGCGTGGGCGATCGAGAACGGAACAAATGAACGATCAGCCGGCGCCGCGCGCGCGTTCCTCTCTTCTAACGTGGGGATGCACGTCGCGCATTCGTCGTGTGCGGTGGTGTGGTCTGTGAGGTGACAATGATCGACGGCATGTCGGGATCACTCGATACGCGTGCATACGTAATACATGCATAATTGTAAATCGTGAATCGTGAGTATTCGTGAGGAGTGGTGAGGGTGAGGTGACTCGTCGTGCGACGACGGCCAGACGCGCGATAGATCTGCGCCTCGTCTCTCTCGAGTGGAAATCGGCAATTGTGGGGAGGTTGCCAAAGGGCTGGAGTTTTGTTTCGTCATTGTGAAAATATCGTAGGTACGAACGATGTCACGATGAGCCGGCGCGATAGACGATTTTGCGTACGGTACAAATAAGGAAAAAGGCATCCTCGTGAAAGGCCGGAGTTCACCGGAGATCTCGCGCGTTATTGGCGCCCACCGCCCGGCGCCTCTCCCATCGCGTAAACGCGTGGTTAACGATTCCCAGAGCGCGACGTTGGATCCGTAAGGTAGTTCGTCAAGATTCCTGAGATTCCAAGATGTATCGTAAGCTAAAGTTCGAGGTGGAGTACCTGACGGATGAGCATCTCACAGGATTTGAGAGTTACAAGGTGAGCGTCTGATTTTGAATGTACTTTTTATACGTACAGATTATTGATTTGAAGAAATTATGAGTATATAATGAATACGTTACGTTTTACAATATACATGCAATTGCAACATGTGTATATATAATGTGTATATAATAATATTTATAAAATTATTTTATTTTTTTTTATATTAAAAAAAGCTATATAATACACATAAAATTTTATTGAAACAATTGAAATAATATTTTATGCTCTCAATGTTTAGCTGTATTGTTTATTTTGAATATGTTATGATTTCAGTATAGCTCCTTGGACACAAGTCCCCTGAGCGTGTATGTTATGCATCCCTTTTGGAACAAAGTAGTACAGGTATAATCTCTGCTTCAGTGATGGAACAGTTGTTAAGATTTCTTCTTTTTAATCCATGTATTTTGTAGAGCTGCAGTAGAACAAAATGGTTTCTTTATATAGTATTTTTATTATAAAATAATCATTCCATCTTGTGTTTTAGTATTGTCCAAAGTGGGTTGCTCCAAATGTACTAACTTTCTCTGGATTCCTTTTTACCGTGCTAAACTTTATGCTATTTGCGATTTATGACTACTACTTCTATGCGTCCAGTGACGACAAGCCGGAATACCCTCCAATATCACGATGGGTCTTTGCCATGGCTGCTTTTAACATTTTTATGGCATATACGCTTGGTACGTGCATTTGGTGCCTGATATATAATTTTAATATTAACATGTAGGAATTAAGGATGTGAAAATATATATACATATATCAATTATAAGTTGAATATCGCGTATGTTTTGATAACTGAATAATTATATACATATATTTGTTAAATAAACTAATGTTAATTATCCAATGTCATTTTGCTCGTGTTTCTAGACGTTTTATTTTGATACATTGAATATACATGTATATGCACACACACGCGCGCGCGCGCGCGCGCGCGCACGCACACACACACACACACACACGTACGCACACGCACACACAAACTATCTCAAAACTAGCGATTCAAAATAATATAGTAAGACAGTTCTTGGAAAAATAAGTAAAAAAGTTATTTATAAATTTTTATTTTGAGCAATAGTTTTTTAAATACAGATGTTTATATCTTAATTACAGACTTTATCTTTTACATTTGAATAAACACACGAACTTACATTTAAACAGAATAATAAATTTAAATATTAAGCAATGGATGAGAGAAAATAATAAACATAATTTTATCGAAAAGAAATATGTATATAAATGTTATTGTGGTATAGTTTTTTGAACAATAACTTAATTTTGTTTATAACCGTTATATTGCAGATGGGATAGATGGTAAACAGGCAAGACGCACACAAACGTCCGGTCCCTTAGGAGAACTATTTGATCACGGTTTAGATAGTTGGACTGCCATGTTGATCACAGTATGTATGTACTCAGTCTTCGGCAGAACAGATCACAGCGTCTCGCCGCTACGAATGTATTTTATACTGTGGAATGTATTCATTAATTTCTATCTAAGTCATTGGGAGAAGTATAACACAGGTGTACTGTTTCTTCCCTGGGGATACGATGCTTCCATGCTGGTAAGTTTGCTCAGAAATATGATTTTTAATGTAAAATAATATTTTTTTCATATTACTAATTGACTTTCATTATTTCATCAATCTCTGCCAACTTACCAATCTTTTATTGATTTTATAGGCAACTGTTATTGTATTTACACTTACCAGCATAGGTGGACACGAAGCCTGGAAATTTGAATTGCCAGGTGGTATATCGGCGGGAATGATGTTTGAAATGTTATTTTATGTTAGTGCGCTTGTGTCCAACTTACCAGTTGTTATTTGGAATATATACAAGTGAGTGTCATTTTATCGTTGTAATAAATAATACATTTTTAAAAATTATTGTTACTAAAATATTTGTTGGATAAAAACGAAATGAATCTGAAATTTTTTTTTCTGTTAATGATAATTAATAAATATTGATAAAGTATTTTATATTCAATTATTTATTTCTCTGTTATAATTCTTTTTAAAAAGTTCATTTGATTTAAAACAAAGTTTGAATAAAAAGCTTTTTATTAACATAATTCTCTTTTAAATTATCTTGCAGATCATATAGAGATAAAACCGGAAAAATGCGGACGTTTCCAGAGGCTATAAGGCCTTTAGTGCCTTTAGTTTTGTTTTTTATAATTTCCACATTCTGGATAATGCACTCTCCAAACAACATTCTAGAAAAAGATCCGAGAATAATATACTTTGCCATCGGCACTATTTTTTCCAATATATGCGTAAGAAATGCATAGATATACTTAATTTAGTAATTTTTTTGATTCATTGCATTCATGTGAATAATGTTGCAGTGTCGATTGATCGTATCACAAATGAGTAATACTAGATGTGAGATACTACCGTGGTTACTATTGCCAATCGCAGTGGCCGCTGTTTTTTCATTTATCTTGCCAAGTATAGATTTGGAAATTATGTATTTAGTTTCTGTAGTGGCCTTGGTGGCACATATTCATTATGGCACTTGTGTGGTAAGTTTACTGACCTGTTACGATTATGATTATATAATATTAATGTATTTTCAATTATATATATTTAGAAAGAAATCTGCAATTAATGATAATTATTACTTATATTTTTATAATTTATATGACATTCTTTCTGTTATGTCAACATGATCGGTTTTGTAATTACAGGTACGTCAAATGTGCCGGCATTTCCGTATTCAGACTTTCTCCATAAAAGATCATTCCGAATGACTACTTGCCGACGATGCATGCTAAGAACGAAGAAAAGGTCGATAAAAACTGACGGAAAAGCAAACAGGGAGAAGAGATCTGACACACACATACACGAACTTTTCTTAGGACTAATCACGAGGCATTAACATTTAAGACAAAACACCTTTCAAATAGCTAAGAAAGAGAAATTATTAAATCACGTTCTTTATGAGAATGTGCGCCATTAACGCGAAATACGATAGTAATGCTGCTCGCAGAGATTTAATAGCGCCATTTTATTCTACATATCTAAAAAAAAAAAAAGAATAGTGTCTGCTAGATATTGCCTATTTATTTCTATATAATAACAAAATTGTTCGAAATATGTTTAACTATTTACTGTGATATACTTATCCTTATCACCGCTTTATCTCTCAAGAGCAGCGGTTCGTCCATGAACGTTCTCTCCATCATGATATTCTACTGGGCTTACATATAATGTGTGTACAAATACTTTTTCTTTGAATGCTGCCGAGTTCATTGAGCAGTGAACTAAAAATGCACCTCTTCGTTTTCGACATGTATCGTCCCTCGGACGTTATTAATCAATAACTAATAATATTGTATGTAGCCGTTTTTTTCTTTTTC